TCTACCCATCTTCCTCCCCCATGAGAAGAGTCAACTCTTATTGACAAGGCTAGAGAACCTGCTTGCATTTGCACTTCACTCCTTTGTTTCAGATTTCCTATAGAAATCTTAGTGACAGAGTTCAGAATCCTAATTCTAGAGAGCCATCCATTATCGGCAAATAGAAAATGAGGAAGATAACTTTTTTTTGGATTCAAGTGACACTCATGTTGAAAACAAGAGGAAACATAGGTTAATTCTAATATTTTATTCAGAAGCACAGATCCTGGTATCATCCCATTTGGTAGCTCTGTCTTTTGGTTCTCCTATGTCTAACATAGGGGAATAAGTAGGGTGACTATCATCCAAAATGGTACACTTTTGAGGGTGAAATGAGCATCAAGGATGATTAAACTGGCACAACAAGTAAAACTGGAACGTAGGCAAATTTGGATCTATACTAACCCTGGCAAAGTCTCTGTCCTCACAGCAGATTGAGATCTAAGAAGTTATATGACAATACAAAATGAGTAAGTGGTTATTTTATCACAAAACTAAACAGTAGTATAGAATAGAGATGTTCACCACATCACCTGGATGTCTTGCTTGCCTAAACAACAAATATTAGCTATTTGAATTATTGTGTTCATTCAGACAACTGGGCAAACCTGGCCTTGATTCTCCTTAGTAAAAGGAAGGGAGTCATTACCAAAGGTAATTATAATGCAGTTAGAACTACCCATTACATCTTTACACACAAGATTGTAGGACAGCTAGGAACACATTTCCATGAAATTTAACTTATACTAAGAGCATGCATGTCTCCGGGCCCTTTTCTCTGGCTCTAAGGACAGGGAGACTGGGGTTTGGGTATTTTCCACTTTTTTTTTTTTTTTTTTGAGACAGGCTCTTGTTCTGTCATCTGTGCTACAGTGCAGCGACATCATCATAGCTCACTGCAACCTCAAACTCCTGGGCTCAAGTGATCCTCCTATCTCAGCCTCCATCTCAACCTCCTGAGTAGCTGGGACTACAGGCATGCGCAACCATGCCTGGCTAATTTTTCTATTGTTTGTAGAGATGAGGGTCTCTCTCTCTCTCTTGGTCAGGCTGGTCTTGAAGTCCTGGCCTCAAGCGATTCTCCCACCTTGGTCTCCCAAAATGTTAGGATTACAGGTGTAAGCCACAGTGCCTGGCCCCTATTTTCCATTTTAATAGAAGAATTTCAGGTAATCCCAACAATCTAAGGAGAATTCAGATTTCAATCTTTCAGCTGGGAAAAGAAACATTACCTAACCTTCTGGATGCTACTAATCACTGTGATAATGAACTCATAGCAGACTAGGAATGGGGCAGTGAGGAGGGAACACCAGGTTGAGAAAGTCAGTGAAGCCAGCCCCGTGAGGAGCATGTAATAAGGTATCCAATTTAATCTCTCATGACCCAACATTTAGCATTTCTTCCTTTAACCACATCAGTTCTCCTTGTTCTGTCTAGATCAAGATTATGATACCATAACTAAATTGTAAACACAGCAATATTAAATGGAAAGCTACTTGGAAAAGATCAGATAATCCCAAGAATTCTGGTGGTAACTAATCCACTAAATTATCAGTGACCAATTATAGCAGTACTCATTCAAATGCATGAAGGCCTCTCAGAGGAACAATAAAGTCTGCCACCAAGACAAATCTGACACTTTTCTTGCATAGTTTATGTTGGCACTAGGAATTTTTTTTTACATCACTTTCAGGGAGGAAAAAAAGAAGGCTTGGAGGAGTAGAGGCAAAACAGTGTAGGATGCTACATGGTCAAGAATAATACTTCTGAAACAAATCAAGTCAGAGGAATCTACCTAATATCAGGTCTGGAAAACCTAATGAGATAAAAAATGTAGACTTCTGGAGTGTGTCTAGGTCCTAGGAATATGCCCTTCATTTATTTGCCCACTCCTTTAATAGCTCCAAAAAACTATGGCAGGGGATGGGTAGTGGGGGAACATTTCTGCTCTCAGTTCCTGTTTATCTTTTTCAAGAAAGGTTTCCTATAATTTACATTTCTGGGGCAAGCCAAATGAAGCCACAATTATTTTTGGAGCACAATATGCCTACCAAATACTTCTAAACCATTGTAAGGACTGGAAATCATCCAGGTGGAAAAAGAATCTATTCTTTTCAGGAATCTAGATTTTCAACTATCATAAAAAAAAAAGTGACAGACATTACAAAACTAGTGCTAACCTAGTGAACTATGATGATGCCACTATACTCTACCCCAGTCAACAGAGTGAGACTGTCTCAAGCAAACAAAAACCAAAAACTAGTGCTAACGTTAAACTACATATGGTAGGCAAATAACTTTGCAGATTGATGACCTAAAGTTTAGATAGTCTATATGAAAGTATTCAGATTCATGAAAATGCACAATTAAGGGAGTTCAGGAATCATCTAGTTTATATGCTTCACAAAATATGAAACTGAAGAACAGAGAGGTGAAGTATCAAAAGGACAGAAAGCTAGTTAGTGACAGAGACGAATAAAAACTCAACCAGATCCTTCATACAGAACAAGAAGAATCAGCTAAGCAAGTTCTTTTCTTTGGTACTATGATGCCAGTGACTCCTGAAATATTTTCTCTAACCAATGAGTTTCAAAAGAGATTTTGTTTATACAAAGAGTTAAAACATAAGACATAGGTGAAATGTAATCTTGTCCTCCATTCTCAGGAAGTAAGCTCCCAGAATTGAAAAGAATTAGATTAAGCCAAGGAGTAGATTAGGGAAAGCATAATAACAGACAGTATGTGAAATTAATCCTGGCTAGTTATATTTCCTGCTTATCTGCTCGAGTTATCAAAAGAGATCCCGATTAGTTCTATCTAGTGGGTGTAAGAGTGTGTGCGCAGGCTATATTTCTTTTTCTTGAAGGAAACCAATGCATTAAGTATATGCAGGTGGTAAATTTTCTGAGATGAAATCAACAAGCTTGCTATTAGCAGGTACAGATTAACACTTGTGTAGTACACCGTTAGCTAGAATATACTCTTCTGAATAGTTAGCTTTCAGTATTTTGCAGAAAGGCCACTGGCTTGTAGACCTGTTAATTCCAAAGAGCAGTCCATCAACATATTCTTATAGTTGGAATGACCTTTGAAACTAGCTATGCAAGGAATCTTGGGAGGTCAGGTACAGCCTCTAGTCCACTGTGAAATTAAGCAATCACATGTAGCGACCATTTTTGCCTTTCACTTTAGAAGACATTTAGTTGCCATAATTCCTCATTTGTCTCCCCTTTGCACTGCATTGTATAGACATTTCTCCGCTACCTTGGGACAATTACATAAGGGCAGAAGGCAGGGTTTAATATCTCACTCCATTCTCCCCTGCCTGCCTCCCTTATAAGCACAGCTGTGACTTGGTATTCATGATGTACTAAACCAAATTCAGAAAATTCGAAATTCATGAGTTCTAATCCAGTCTCTGCCATTAAATGTGTATCTGTCCATCTGTACATTCATCTCTCAATGTCTTTCACCACTTGCAAAAACAGCTATAATTTTTTTGTGAAAAACATGCAAATATAAAACAAAGACACTTAAAGGTCAGGAAGAGAGAAGAACTACAATGAAAGGAGTAGGAAAAGTGGATATTAAATAGCAACTTGAGGTAGGATGATTATAGCACTACTTTTGCTTTAAGTTTTCTGTCAATTAAACAAATAATAATATTCTCTTCATGCTGTACTTTTCTCATATGGAAAATATACGGATGACAATTTAATAAGGTAACGAGACTCACACTTATGTGCTAAATAGTGTGCTAAGTTCTGAGGAATACAGAAAAAGTATGACAAGAGCTCTGCCTCAAAGAAGTTAACTATCTGGTTGAGATTCAATTGTAAAACATAAAGGCATTTGTATATAATATAATAAAAGAGATATTAACCAAATAAGGCACAGGCTTTTGAATGGAAGGACTTGAATATTATATAGATATAGGCAAATTTCCCGAAGGGAGCCCATACAGACAATGCTAAGCAAATGCTATTGCCTAAGAATGGGACATCCACAAAGGCCAATTCATTTTCTGGTGTGATTTCTAAGAGATGCTCAGAAATAGAAATTGGAAACTAGCACCCCTGAGAATAATAACTGCCTTGGTTATAGTCAAGGCTGGCATAATCTCATGGCTTAAAGGCAACATCTTGGGGTAACTCTATTGTCTTGAATACACAAACATTTATCTATTTATATATTTTATACATTTATATGCATATATTTTTATTTATACACACATATATTTTTACTATATTATTATAATATTATATTCAAATATGTATATACAAAACTTTATTCTTTATTTTTTCTTTCGCAGAAAAGATAAAGCAGAATTTAGGTAGCCTGCTAAAGATATACACACATTATTTTCTATAGATAAGAATTTATGGTTTATTACATATATCATCTTATTTTAAAACTGTTTCAGCTTCAAAACAGGATATCCTTCCAGTGGAACAGATATTTTCACAGGTAGGCTTTTTGTATAATCTTTAAGGAGCAAAAAGTTGAGGATATAAATCTGTGAAGTCTAGAATATTCCTATTGAGTTTTACAAATGACAGAAAACAATAGTGTACCAGTTCTTTCTAACATTAGTTGCTTTGTTCCTCCTCATAGCCTCACAGAAAAGATTATTTGCAACTCTTCACATCCTCACAAAATATTCAGACTTTTCAATGAAATGAGTTTCCCACATTGTGGAAACACCCACACAGCAAACTGCAACAGTGAATGAAACGGATTATAGTCAGATCTTTGACAATATTAACTTTATGCTAAGGCCCTGCTCTGCTGGGCAGCTTTCTCTCCTAATCTATGCCTGAAAACTTTTACCCAGTAAACATACTCTGGACCTTCCATGAGCTGTTGAGTGGTTAATTGACTCATAACATTTCATGTGTGGGAACAGGCTGGTGTTAAGCACAATGATGGTTCCCAGGCTGAAATGTCAGAGGCATTTGTTGATGGAGAAATGCCCTGGATGCAAAAACAAGATCCTCAATCTCATGATGCATATTTCCTACTCGACCAATGCACATCTGTAAAACCACCCTCAGGAGACCTTGTCTGCCTTTCTCAATCACCTCTGTTGTTGTGGAGAGTGCTCTTCTCAGCCAATAGCTCTTACGTGGAACAACACTCACTTTAAATCAGCTTTCAAACAGCTACTCATCCCAGGGAGGCCAACTCAAAAGGGCTCAAATTGGGCAGCTAGGAAATCTGCAGCTAGAGACATGATGAAAGAAGTGAAAAGGGATATAGTGGGAGAATGGCTCTCAAAGAGGCAGGGAAGTCTCTGTATGCTTAAATCCGTGTTTGAAAAGTCCTGTGGGTCACAAGTACAGTCAGTAAAGAAGCACAACCCCTTGGTAGCCGACTGGATTATGATCTGAACTAACCAGACAATGATTACTGATTACGGACTGGGGAAAGTGAAGAGGGGCTGGTCCTGGCACTTTTTTTTTGAGAACTTTAATGTCATTCCATTTCTTCTGAATAAATGACAATGCCTTCAAATGTTATTCTCTCCAATCGGTCTTTCTTCCCCACCCCTGGGCCTTTTCTGCTGTCCTCCACCCAGAGCTGGGACCCTAGCTAAGGGAGGCTCTGGCTCATCTACATCAGCTCTGTGGGCATGGGTTAAGTTTCTCTTGATAGAATCATTTCAGTTTTGTTGAATGAGGTTTACACATTCCTTAATTTCCCCATGATAACCTATACCTACCTACAAAAAACGCCGGTCAAAAGTGTTCTCTGCGTTGTTTGTTTGTATTGCAGCACTCCTGGCCTTGCGATGGGATAGAGAATGTGGTAGCAGCTGAAAAAGTTCCTTTACTCTCTTCCCTCATTCATGTACGTTATCATCCCGGGTTAGGGAAATACTTTGTGATTCTATTTAGTAGCTACCCTCGAAATTACCTCTGCCAAGCAGTTCACTATTGCCACCACACAGGCTGTGCTTAGCACCTAATCACAAAGCAATTTCAGTGACAGGTCCTAGGTGAGAACTTAGTGAGTCTGAGGCTTTTACTGATAATATCTTACACGTAGGCACTAGGCATGAATTGGGGAAGAAAATCAGAACCCATACTTCTTAATGTTGGCTCTATCTTTCCAGCCTTGATTCTAATATTCACTCCTTTAGGAGTTCTAGATATCATCTGATAAATTATAAAGGTAAATTTCTAAATGGTTCCAAAAGAAGCCTATATTCAGAATTAATAACTTAATAATTTTCTATATCAGGAAAACTACAGATTTCCTTATTCTACAACAGGATCAAATCCACCGGGTTATTCACCTCCCAGGAGGTAAATTACTCCTCCAAATGACAGGATGACATTAACTTCCACTTCATTGATTAGATGAACACATATCAGGTCAGGGGGTTCCAACAATTGTGATGAGATATAGATAATTTTTCACCTTCCTCCTATATTCCATACATTTATAAAATCTGACACATTCCCTCTGCAACTGATGGAATCAACTCCCAAATCTGGTGAATTCCATGTCTAATTAAAGCACTCGCCAGAACTTTCCTGCATGGGTTGATGGCTGGACCACATTGAACTGGATTTCTGTTCAGCCTCTTTAAGAAGTAGTGGCAGCAGCTCTCCTACAAAATGGTCCAGGGAAGCCACCTAAAAGGGTGGGTGATCTTCATAAATGGACAGGAAACAGAAAAGACGAATATTGGGCGGATGACAGATCCCTTAACTGGCCTTCAAGATACAAGCTGTTCTATTAAACATAGGGCCATTATGCTGGCCGGCCATCCACTTTAAACCCCAGAGTGATTAAAATGCTGGCAGGAAATGAAAGCTCTCTATTGAAGGTCCTTCCCTGAGGTCCTAATTTCAAACCAAATTTTACAGCACCGCACAGGAACAAAGGAAGCCCAGTCTTCCAAGTCTTCTTTTTGTCACTTTGGACAAAGACACCCCCTCATACTCCTCAAAGAACAATGGCCTCTGTAGAGCCACAGCCACGCCAAGAATGGGCACAAACCATACAGAAACACATTTTAAAAATACATTTTACACTGCCCTTGACATTTCGGATAAATAGAAACCACTGCACTGAAATTCCAAATATTTCATCCTTTCCCTCCCCCCCTTGCCTTTATAATGAGAATTTTCCTATTCTCCCAATCTACTTGATCTTTGACATTTTGGCCTCTGTGAATGGAGGACACAGTAGAGTAGTCAAATAAATTAATTATTCAGATAATTGCATTTTATTAAAATAATCACTGTAACCGAGACAATCACATGATTCTCACCAACGGAAGACAGCAAGGATGATGCCTACAAATCTTTTTTAATTGAAACAACTGTAGAGTCATTTCTACTCCACAGTCCACTCTAAGCAAGCCAGGGAAAATACATTATCAGAACGAGATTTTTTTCCCTTCACTAGCTGCTGTTTCGGGGTGGCCTTTTTTTTCCTTCTTCTTTTTCAGCAAAAACAGCTTTTATGTTTTTACTGAACCACTTCAGATTCACTCTTCCACACAGTGGATGTTTACTTGGATTTGGCAGGCTGAGAACAGCTGGTTGTTTCCTAACAAATGGAACATGAGACCATATGTTTCAACATTTAAGCAATTTTGAACCAGAGGTATAATTCTGAGTGTCCTTTGTTGAAACTGTACATTAAATACCCAAAGGATCTGAGCTATACAAGAGATACAGCCTTTTTTTAAAGCACTTTTCCCTTAGCAACAAAACCACTCCACACTACTTATATCATAGACTTATATGGCAAGTTTGTAGAGAGCACTGCGAGCTGACGACGGCTCTGCTTCAGGGGCAGCTGTATTTTAAACAGGAAAAGACAGCTAAGCAGACCTTTTCCTTGTAATTCTGTTTGGGAACAAAATGTGTCCGAGGCTTTCTCTGGGGAGCATCAACAACATGGATACCTGCTTTCCTCATAGAAGGATGGAGCTAGTAATTTATAAAAGGGAGTCTCCGATATTAGCATGTAAGATGACCATGTGCTTTGTTTCCCCCTCTTTCTTTTTAGAACATCGTCAAACTAAGCTGGCCTAATGAGATTCAAGTCAGTCAAGTTTAGGGTAAAAAATGTCCAAAACAGAAGAAAAACCATCAGTTCTTTAATAAAACAACTACCACGTTTCTTTCATTTGGTGCTTCAATATTAATCGTTAATAATGTTAGAAATGAAACTATGGATTTAAAGTCAGCCTGAGTCAGAGCATTAGCAAGCCTCTAGTAGAACACCAAGAAGAAAATTCTCTTGTCACTGAAGAAAAGAGTCCAGCTTTTGAAAAATGCAATACAATGAAAAGTCAAATACATGTAAGTAGGCAATACAATAACCAAAATACCAAGCACAGGGAAGTAGAATAGGAAGCCACTAGCCTCTAGGAAGTTCCCACCCAAAATGTAGATTTGCAATAGTAAGTGGAATTTAATAAATTTCATATGCCATTTTCCAGAAGATTAAATGAGAGTCATTTATTAAGACATAATAAATGAAAGGTATATATGATCAATATTACCTCCTAAGTTTTTTATTTTCTCCAGGTTCTTACATATAAGTAAGACTAACAGTAATTTTTCTCCTCTAATTCCATTTAAGTGCAAGGATCTTACTGAGAATTTTTTGCATAGCCAATGTTGTTGGCCATGATACTAATAAGATCTCAGCAAAAACAAAAATATATTCCCCCCACTACTTCTCACCAAGCAAGACACAAATATCTATGTACGCCACTCCTTAGTTTAAATCTCACAACTCTAAGAAAACTTTGAAAAATGGACCCTCTGCCAGTATAATTTCCTGGGGCCATGTGAGAGGGCAGATTTTCTCCTCCTCTGGATTCTGGAGCAGAGCAACATATGGACTGCTTGGGGTGGGTGTGAAGGGGCAATTATATTCATACTTTTAACATGCTAACCACTGCACACAGAATTATGTATAAAAATGTTCACTGCAGTTTTGTTTGTAAAGGCAAGAAGTTTTAAACAACATCCACAGGGAATCCATTAAAGAGATTATTATACCTCCACACGACAGAATACCACGGGAAGGGGCTGGGCGATTAGGAGCACAGGCTCAGGAGCCAGAGCACCTTCGTTTGAGTCTCGTCTTTGTAAACTTGGACACATTTGTGACCTTTCTTTAACTTACTTTTTCCATCTGTCAAAGAAGAATAATAACAGTACCAATACCTTAATGTCATGATGAAGAGTAAATGAATTAATACATGCTTGCCTCTAGAAATGTTAGGCATTCTTATTAACACACAGATAGTAAGAAAGATAAAGTAGATCTATAAGTAAGTACAAGTACTGACAGGGAAACAATGTATACTGGTGAGAGGAAAACATAGGCTGAAGAACATTTGATATAGTAGTATGAGGAACAGGGAAGAAAATCTGAAATTTCTGTCCTTTTATGCATGTAGCCAATAAAAGTTTAAGGAATGTCTCCGCTATCCTTGAAACACTTTACAGAGTTTATGTGAAGAAAACTTCAAAAACATGCTAAGAGCAAATGATACTGTGTCTTCAAATAAATGGGTACTCAAAAAATACACTCCTTTTGTAGCTTACATGTCACTTGTTGCCCTAATGCCTCTAAAGCAAAATTATTTTGGATCAATATAGAAATCTTTTTAAAAATATCCAACTTGATAGGATCAAAGTAAAAACTGGCACATTAATAAGGGAACCCACACTCTTCAATTTACTAATATAAAAATATAGTTTTAGTTAATGTTATAGTTATTCATAGTGCCACAAAGGAACTACTGTAATTTATGTATATATACACAAACAAAGTTAAATACGTTCTTACGTATTATAAAACATAAAGTTATTCCCAGAACTAAAGAATCATCTAGACATCTCTGATTGAGAATGTGGGGAACGCTGTAGATATGAACAAAGAATGCCTCAGGTTGCCCTGCGCATGTCAGCTATTCACGTGTCTAGTCATACTCCAGTTTATGTCACCAGTGTTAATGTATCAATGTGAGACTAAAAATCAGCTTACGATCCTATATTTCAAAGACAATGATTCCATTGTGTTTATTCAACCTTTTGCCAAGATCATGACTGATGCACCTAAATTTGTATAGGATTCATTCATTCATTTACCCAACAAATGTTTATTAATGGTAAGTGCCTATAGCTAGAGTTCTGAAATCAAAGGGGCCTACACAAACTATTACTGACTAAAATTTGTGTTCTCCAGATAAATGAAAAAACCTACAGAAGTAAAAGAAAAGTAGAATTCAGGAATATGCTAACTGCTGATCTCAGTTGACTCTTTAGGTGGGAAAAAAGTTCAAATTCTACTGGTCTGATGGGTACAGGTCACTAAAAGAGCTCTAGGGAAATGAATTATCTTCCTAATTAAGCAGAAATGCTGCCTTTTTGATTGTGTTTGCCTTACCTTCTGCTCCTGAAACAGTTCACACCCTAAGAACACAAAGAATATCTGTGTATTCAGTACCCAGGTATACTCCATAGCTAAGACAAAGGTTAGGAAACTTTAAATTAGCCATTTTAAGACTAAACAGAATGGAAAAAGAATGCTGGTCAAGGGTCTTAAGAACATAAAAGAAGCACATTCTCTGATGAGTAGACCTTTCTCCTGCCCCACTTCCCTCTAGACCAATGACAGGGTTAGGAGGCACTACAGCATGTGGTAACAATCACAAAGACCAATTTGTTCTGAGTATGTCAAGGTCAATGACATTATGGCTGAGGAGACTGTCTTGAGTCCTGGAAGTCTGCAATAGTTCCTGAATGTCACACAGGATCACCTATGGTGTTTGTTTGCCATTTCCTTCAGGGTAGCTCTCTCAACAGCTATCTTTCTTGTAGAATTAGAAGTATGCAGAAATGAAAATACCTCATTCTGGTGGTCTTCTGTTGGTCAACAAATAAATGCTACTGATGTTGACAATGTGGGAGGCCCACCAGGAAGTCCAGCTGGATATGTTGAAATACAACAATTTTTCCTAAAACATATTTTATCAGGAAACTGGTCTCTGGCTGTATCCAGCTTAGGATATACTCTGTCTGTTCTGGCTCTAGAAGACAGAAAAGGAGGAAAGAAATAGTACCTGTTTTTTCCTTTCTTTCAGTTTTAACCTTTTATTGACAGGTAGAAAAAAGAAAAATAACACTTCTTGCATTTCCTAGACAAATATGTTCCAAAGAAAGTCACTTTTTTATAAGAGAAAGAATCTTGCAACTCTGCTTCTAACAGTAGGCTTGGAAGATAAACAGAATGGGGTAATCTATTACATACTTATTAGTACTTGCTACTTAATTTCTTCTCACTGTGGACCAAAGTTATCCTTTGATTTCAGATGGAATCATCCTTCCTTAATTTTTATCTAGTACTCTTTAATTTTTCATCGAATTTTTCTAAATATTTAATAAGTTCCAAGGCATTTTTTTTCATTCTCAGCCAAGGTAAAGACTGAGAAATTAATGGAAATGAGACTTAAAGAAAAATACCTTGGTGCTGTATTTTTTTTATTTTTTTATTTTTCCCCTGATAACTGCACAGTAAGTACTGTGTTTTTAATGGCAATTATATTCTAGAAATATTTAATGAAAGGGCTATAAATTCTGTTTTTAAGAAAGTTACAATGATGAAGCAACAACAAATTTTGTTATTTTTAACATGGGTATTTCAGTTTAAAAAGATTCCACTCAAAGTTTCCCAAATTCAATTTTTCACATAATGCTCAGTCTAATATGAATGTGGGAAAAAAAGACAAATCCAAACATAGAATATTATTTTCGAAAAATAGTGAACTAAATGTAAAGGTCCCGTAAAATGTGATATCTAGATTTTTCTGAACTCGTTCACATGACCTTCATTCTATTTATAGTAATGCAGCAATTCCCATTTGAATATAGAGCAATACCTTGTAGGAGAATTTGGTTTAGCACAAATAAACTTGAGAAAAGTGTTGACTTAAAAATAAAACACTGGGAGAGGAGGGAGGGCTTTCCCCCCCTCTGTGAAAATTTCCGGAAAAGTTGTAAACAAAGGCAGGTTTGGCTCAGAGACTGAGTGACTCTGGTGAGCTGAGGAGGATGAAGAGTACATCAAACCTCCCAGAGTGAGGAAATGTTTGTAAAACAGTTAGTAAATCACAGGCAGCTCGGGTCACCATGCTGAACAACCCAGGGACAGGCTGCCAAAATCCCAGCTGTGTAAGAAGGGGGCCGGGCACTGCTTCACAGCTTGAACCCCATTTTGAATGATCTCTTGGTTCCATTCTCTGCCCTTTCCCTCTGTCACTTCAGAGCTCTGATGGCTACACGATTAATTAGCTCTGGGCCACAGGGCAGTGCTGACTATTCCTATTGAGTGCCAAGGTGAGGGTACTAGCACAACTGAAAACATTCTCTGCTGAGTGATACTGATTGAGCCTTTGGTCCTGGGGACAAGGCTGAAAGTTCCAGCTGGGAAGAAAGAGTCACACTCAACCTGAAATTTAAAAAAAAAAAAAAAAAAAAGGTTACAAAGATGAACAGAAGGCAAAATATGTAACTGTAAGTTTCCACAAATTTTGAAATATCTTTTCAAGTATTTTTTGATCACTACTCTCCTAACTCTTCTATGGTACATCTGTTGTTCTTTTCCTGATATTACAGAAATGGAAATGTGGAAACTGTTAAGATCTTCATAAACTGTCTTTTTTGCGCCCCTCTTATCCCCCAGAAGTCAGGAAGATAAAAACAAAATAAAATAAAAATAGTAATGAAGAACCGCTCAGGAAGAGATAAAGAAGGATGCACTATGGAAGACTCCTATCAACCACTCTAGGCAGAAAGTTCTTCCAGACTAGACTTAGACTTAGTTCTATTAATTATTCTTCTTTAGTCTCCAGAAACGAATTTTTAAAAACTGCATACTCTTTCTCTACAACAAACTCAGTCTGCCCACACAGAGAATGTTACTATGCCTTTAAACCTGGATATAAAAGAAGGCTAATTAATGGCTTAAAAACTTTTTTAAAATGAGAAGTATGGTAATAGATGAAAATCTATATTTTTTAAAATATTAAATGTAAAGAAGGTAGAATAGACCAAAGCATGTACCCACTAACTACAGCCAGCACAGACCAAAGATAGACACAGAAAGGTGCTTATATAAAAAAAGAAGAAAAGAAAAAGTCTTGAAATTATGAGGGAAAAAATTCTTCCCATTCAGATCTAGGAGCTACTGAAAATATAAAATTTTAAAAAAAGATATTTTTGAATAGAGAGTAAGAAAACTTCTCCAGCAATCATATAAAATTTATTATTAGTCCTAATGCACAAAAGAGGAAGATCACTTTAGTCACAGTGCTGACACCATAAATAGAAACTTATTTAGAGAAAATTCTTCACCTTGATTACCTAAATTGAAATGGGACATATAAGTGAAGGGATTCTTTACTGTTGAAAAGCTATTGACTTAATATATGAGCTATTCAGGCTGTTTATTTCCACCACTGATTCATTACTTTTTATCTTTTGAAAATTCAGGCTATCTGAGAGCAACAAGACCTGTGCTTTTGAGTTGTTTTTCTGGGTTGGCGTTGAGTCAGACACACTCTCAGCTCATCTCTCATATTCTTATGACAATGGAAGGCTAATGGTGATGCCATATAATTCTTAGTTTTTCTTTTTAAAAAATTAACTTGGCCTATCCAGAGATCAAACAAGATTTTGGGCTCGATGGCATCATATTCCAACCAATGGAGTAATTAGCCCAGAAGAAAAACAAAGAAAATCATAAGGAAAATAAACTCGGCAATTATAAAATTAAATAAATAATTCTTTTAAAAAAGGAAATGAAGGCAGGGAGGAGAAGGAAAGTAAACTCTTTGCTGAGAGCTTTAATAAATGCTTCAAGGCAGTTGAGAAAAGCATGGACTTTGGAACCAGATCTGGGATCAAAATCCTGACCCCAACCCTGTTAGCTGTGTTAGATTGTGCAAATCATTACAGATATCATCAGTTTCCTCATCTGCAAAATGGGGATAAAAATCACTACCTATTAAGAGTGTTGACAGACGAAATGTGATACTTGTGAAAGTACCTGGAATAATGTCTGGTACTAAAAACTGCTAGCTTCCTTTTCCCCTCATTGGAAAGTATACAAAGTCTTTCTTTAAAAGTCCATAGATTTTTCAGATGGAAGAAGGAATGTACTTCATGAAGTGAGCCACACTACTCTCTCTCACCATTAACCATAACCTGAGCAAACTCTCTAGGGCTTCAAGTCTCTCACCTCCTCTAGCACCACATTTGTTACAGTCTAAGTCAAAAGGACTCCTTTGAGCCTCAAAGAAGAGAGTATACCCCCCAAAATTAATGGATGTGACTCAAACGTTGGATATTTAGCTATTTAAACATGTTGCTCACAGCTCATGTTCCCAGCTTGAGGAATTCCTCTTGGATCCTGTCTCCGGTGGCAATGGACGGTTTCCACATTACATTCTTTGCCCCCTTATTCAGCTGGCAAGCCAGATAAAATCAAAACAAATTCGGAACAAACACACACAAATACACACACTTCAGTGCCCTTGTGAGTCAGACAAGCGGGTGATTAATATGGAACGGGAGTATGATTCGCACTGGTAGCCCTCCTCACTCTGACTTTGCTGCTCGTAGATACCTGGAGATGTCAGGTAGTCTACATTTGAAAAGAAATATTGCTGTCACTGTTTGATTTTAGGTTTGAGTTAAAATTCATTTATTTAAACACTAAGCTCTTAATGTTTTCTAAAAGCAAGATCTCACAATTTTTATGGAACTAAAAGACAACTGAACAAGAACATAATTTTTCTTACTATTTGTCCTCTTTTGTTCTGTCTGGTGAATAGGTAAACAGTACTTTCTGAGAAAGAATTATAGACAAACACCCACCTTGCTAAAAATGACTCAGAACTGCTAACTTGGCTTTAAAATCCTATATGAGGATTTTTTAAAAATTCTAATGGACACTACTGGGCTGAGGCAGGAAAGGGGAAAGGAATCTCATTAAAAAAGTGCATTTTTCAGTTCTGTTTGGAATTTCAGTATAGTAGACTCAAACAGGTAAATTGTACCTGGCCCTATTCATGTGACAAAGAAACGAAACCCAAATATTGGCTGAAACAGAAGACAGATAACAGTAAAAAGATATTAATGTAATAAGTGAGCCAGCCAGCCAGCCAAACAACTGAGGATATCTTACCACCACCCTCATTGATAATCGAAAGCAATATGCTCCAGTCCAAAAGCCACTCCAATAGGCATGTCTGGGAGGCTGCAAAGCATCAGGATCCAGGAGGCTAGTATTCCATACCAGCCCTGCCATTTATTTATTAATACTATATGGCCTTGGGCAGGTTGAGGACATTTTCTGAAGCTCAAGTCCTCCACTATGAAATGAAGATGACAATTTCTCTTTCAGTAAGTTGCTATGGCTATAAAATAATAAATGTGATGAAGCTTTGTCAATAGTAAGTGCCATATTGATGTTAGTTGTTACTATTATCAAACAATGTACTCACCAATAAGGTGAGAATAATAGACTAACCAACTAATTTTATTGACCCAATTCCCATTCATTTACACCACTTTGACTGCCTCAGATATCATAAGTCAGCTGCCTTGGGACTTTAACAAAAATTTTATCACTAAGTCAACAGTAAGTTCTAAGTTGTTTTTTTTGTTTTTGTGTTTTTTATTTATTTGATTTAAAGAGAGGATAAGAAATGGAGGAGTGTAACTTCAAACTGGCTTAAACAGGATGCTGTAGTTAGATTTGTTCAATTTTTCCCAAGCATGTTTCTATTTAAAATTATCTTTTTGTATTATTCTGGAAGAGAGGGTAACTTATCTCATCCAAAATTGGTGTTTTCAATTTCCTTATATAACAAGGCTTGAATGTTGTGGAGGAAGTAGGCAAAAACAAAAGAAACAAGAAAGATCAAAAAGCAAGAGACCTATAACCTGCAAGGTTAAGAGGTTATGACCCTAGGGCCCTGAAGTAAGGTGGATGTCTAGAAAAATATTTTCAGGTAGTTTTCAGCAA